TTTTTTTTTTTTTTTACTCCCTAACTTTTCTGATATCTGAAAACTAAAAACCCGCACGTCAGGGCTCCTTCTTATCTTAGAACTTATTTCATTAAAATCAATGTGACAACATGGCATCCAAACACATCCGCAGGCCGGCCTAACGCTCGGGTGGTCCATGTGACGTCAGGGCACTACTTGGGTGGTCCCCAAGCTATAGTCTGCATCGCCGCGCTGTGTTGCCACTTTTTCTTTTTGTTATATCTTAAATAGCGGTACTGGTATTTACCTTTATTAATTGGCCAACTCGATCCTAGTAGTTTCAGATACTGATGTTCATATTAATTATTAGAAATGATAAACCTTTTTTTTTATTGTTTGAATATTCTGGACAATATTTCATTACCTTGCCATGAGTTTTCTTTGAACATTGCATAAAAAAAGCATCGTTTCCTCTACTTCTGTACATTCTCCAGGACCCATTTTTTAATCTTTGAAGCGAATTTTTGTAGGCCTGAGTTCTACCTTACCTTAAATATATTTATGAATCATATCGTAAAAAATTAGGAATATATATTTCAGATGAATGTTTCTGTTGCGGGAATTTGTTGGGCGTAAAATAAGAAACGAATATTAAAAAAAAAATCAGGTCATTTTATCCCCTATTGATAGGTACAGATCAATGAATGGTGTCGCGGTTTTTCAATTTAATATCATAATATCCCTATTCCGCAATTTTTTTTTTTATTTAAAAGCAGTAACAGAAGAAGTGTTGACCTGTATATGATACTTTTTTTTGTACTTTTAACTACTTTTAAAAACATCCGTTTCTTCACCAATTTCTTAAAAGGGTAACCATTTTCGAAGACTTTCCTCAATATTTTCTGTATACCTAAAAGATTTTCGCTATTCTAATGAACAAAGAAGTTGATAGTAACAATTGGTTACCAATAAGACGTCAGCGGTTCATCGACGCCATTTTGTTATTTTCATCTTTCTAGATTCGTCTGTGGCAAAAAATTAGAATAAAAAATGCCCTGTGAGGAGTTTTCGATTTAATTATCAAATACTTCTAAAACATCGAGTTTTCCGGGAAACAAAGAATTTCCGCCCAAAAAATAAGAGGTATAGGTATGCTAGTTAGTGATCTTGGGTAGAAGCTTCTTATAAAACAATATTTTTTTGGAACTGATTTTATCTTAACGGAAACAGGTGGTACATTGTATCCCATATTCAATAAGATTAATTTTTACTTTTTAAGGAAACAGTATTTTAAACATAATGATGCTTTGGCGGGAACAATGAAAATAAGGTACCTATAGGTTTTCCCGATCTACTCTCTTTCAAAGCAAATAAACCGAACAAATAGGAGACACTTTTTGATTTTCTGTATTAATTATTGATAGGTCAACATATAAAAATAGTTATAGGTCAGCAACAAATTAATTTATGATATAGGTATCTGGTGTAATTTATTTATGCATAATACTATTAGGTACATGGACGAAACATGCAACAATTACTAAGCATATTTATTGCGATTTTAATTACGACTGTTTGGTTTCGTAGTTCGCGATACCTACTGCTTTTTTCGCACGTTAATGCCTACTCAATTCACTGACAATGTTAACGTGTAGTGTCGACTTTGGTGGTCTGATGCATCGTTTGCATCTTTGAAAAAAAAAAACCTAAAAATGGCGATTTTCCGTGTTAAACAGCTTTCGAAAATTCGGCCAGCAGCATTGATGCAGTGTAACTTGAAAATCAGTTCAATTTGGCAACATAGGATTTAAACAGCACCTGGGTTGCAAAGAATCTACGGGAGGGATTCTAGAAAGAAAGCTTTCGTCTCGCTCACCTTTTGTGTTTTATATTCTGCCCCTACCCCCTTCACCTTTATACGTTAGATAATACCCAGAAACGAGACTAACGAGAGGGGTAGCTAATATTAATGCCCGATCAGATCAATTTTAGAGAACCTCGCCAGCTTTTGTCGACGTCCGAAACGCAATCCCCAAGTTACTTATGTCATTATAAGATTTATAAGTAAAAGTAATAGCCATAAATTATACGCTTTGGTCGGTTCAAGATTTATGTTCGATTTTTATGAGCACAGTTTTGTATATGGAAACAAAATTAGTCTATTTTATTGAGCCGACAATTTTATTACCATTCTAGTGTAAGGAGTGGATTGGAATTACTTGTTTATTGTTCCCCGTTCCGCTAATATAATCCACCACACTAGGTGTCAGATATCAGATACGTATTAAAAATTATACCTACATTTTAAAATATAAAAAATACAAATATGACGATATGAGAATTAAGCTTGCCTATTATTGGGAAGAGTTAACAGATATTTTGAGAATTAATGGAAATTAATTTATCAATTATTCTCGATTAAATTTGTGCTTGGAGACTAGACAAAAACTTCTGAAAACAAATAGAGTGTTGAAGCATTCAAAATGTGGAATGTTTCCAGTTATTGGAAATTGAAAGTTGCAATACATTATTGCATTATAGTAAGAAAATTGAGAGTTCCTTTGCCCATCGATAGCCCATGTAGGCCCACTTTATAATTTCGTTTGCCCACCATTCAAAACAAAATTATTGAAAAAATAAATTTCTGATGACAGTTTTTTTTTTCAGCACTTCCATATTTGAAAATTAATGACCAATCTAAAATCACACTTCGTTTGTCCATCGAATGCCCATGTTTGCCCACCCAATAACTTCGTTTGCCCACCCTCCAAAAAAAAGTAATTGAGAAAATGAAATTTTGAATTTTTTTTCCAGCACCCACAAAATCGAAAATGAACAATCTAAAATCACAGTTTGTTTGTTCATCGAATGCCCATGTTTGTCCACCCAATGGGTAGTGTGAATGAAAATTTAGTAAGAGCTTTATCTTGCATTTCCTAACCACTTCTTCACTTTGCAGTGAATAAAAATGAGTATTAGCTTTAACTAAAAATTCAATTAGTAAAAGCTACGGTACTTGTCATTGCTGCGTTTATATAAGGTCTACAAAATTTCATCCCGAAGGAAAAGAAAGTCGTTCCGAAGAATACCACAGTCTGTCAATTTGGGGTTGGCCGAAGATTTTTCAGGAACCTCCTCCTCCAACAAATCACTTATAGAATTGTCTGAATCGACTGAATCACTTGATGCGCTGGCGTTCGGTTCGATACCGCAACTTTAAAAGGGGTACGTTAACCAGCACTCAACTGTTGCCAACAGTTGAGTAGTTGGGGAAACAATGGGTACGTTCACCAGTACTCAGCAGCCAACTTGCACTGTAAAGCAGTTGGGGACAGTTGAGTTACAGCGGATGTAAATTTCCTGAACGCATAGTTGAGAGTTATGACTAATGACAATTAAATAAGTTAAGTGCTGAAAAAAAAACTGTCAACATTTTATTTTTTCAATAACTTTTTTTTGGAGGGTGAGCAAACTAAGTTATTGGGTGGGCCTACATGGGCATTCGATAGGCAAACGAACTGTGATTTCACATTGGTCATGAATTTTCAAATTTGGGAGTGCTAGAAAAAAGTTGTCAGACTTTTATTTTTTCATTAACTTGTTTTTGGAGGGTGGGCAACCGAAGTCATTGGGTGGGCAAACATGGGCATTCGATGGGCAAACGAACTGTGATTTCACATTGGTTATCAATTTTCAAATTTGGGAGTGCTATAAAAAAAAGTTGTCAACATTTTATTTTTCCGATAACTTTTTTTTGGAGGGTGAACAAATAAAGTTATCGGGTGGGCAAACATGGGCAATCGATGGACAAACGAACTGTTATTTTAGATTGTTCATTTTCGATTTTGCGGGTGCTGGAAAAAAAAAATAGAAATTTTATTTTCTCAATAACTTTTTTTTGGAGGGTGGCAAACATGGGCATTCGATGGACGAACGAACTGTGATTTTAGATTGGTCATTAATTTTCAAATATGGGAGTATGGGAGTGCTAAAAAAAAGTTGTCAACATTTTGTTTTTCCAATAACTTTTTTTTGGAGGTTGGGGAAACAAAATTATTGGGTGGGCAAACATGGGCAATCGATGGGTAAACGAACTGTTATTTTAGATTGTTGATTATCAAATTTGGGGGTGCTGGAAAAAAAAATAGAAATTTTATTTTTCCAATAACTTTTTTTTGGAGGGTGGGTAAACAAATTTATTGGGAGGGCAAACTTGAGCAATCGATGGGCAAACGAACTTTTATTTAAGATTGTTGATTTTCAAATTTGGGGGTGCTGGAGAAAAAATATTGCCAGAATTTTATTATTTCAATAACTTTTTTTGGGGGGTGGGCAACGTATTGATTTTTCGAAATTTCGTTGGTGGGGGTGCCCCCGTCACAGAGCTGATAACGAAAAATTCCGCAGAAGATTGAGGATCTATGGGAATTTACTTATATAATTTATTCATCAAATACTACATCATAGTAGTGTGTGAAATATTGGTGGGCTGGCTACATTTTGTGGACTGAACTCAACTGAACTACCTCCTCTCCTTATTTTTTTTTTTTTTTTCAAATTTTCCTAATGTTTTCTTTATTAAATCCTTTGTTCTGAATCTATTGTCGTTGGATTGGCAGTTAAAAAGCTGAGTTGTTGCGTCCCACGACTCGTCCGTCAAACACCAAGTATAGCCTCATCCATCTTCTTGTTTTTATATAATATTTACCATTATTACCATAATTTTGAATAAATGAACTATATCTTTTCACTGTGCCTATTGGGATTTGGTGGAGTTTTATTTTGAAAAATTTACTACACTACTGTCTGCCGCATAGCTAAGCGGCTGAAAAGCGAGACGTGTGCCAAAAATATAATATTGAAGTTTCACCCCTAATCTAAGCGACACTTTGCAAAGTAGCAGATTCAAGGGTATCTCGTGCGAACGGCCGTCAGAAGCTGTATTTGATGACAATCTTCAATTTAATTTAAAATCCTATTTTAACATTTTTATTATCTGCAGGAACAACAATTTATTAACGTCGACTTTTTTCTTGCAGGAAAAAGCAGTTGGTGATCGCGGCATCCTATGGATTCGGAGCAAGATTCAGAGACAGCTAAAATCCTTTGGAAAAACATTGGAAACTCACGCCGGGAAATTTTTGTTTGTCAGTATCCTGGCTATAGCGACCTTTTCGGTGGGACTCAAAAGTATGATGTTTCATACTGATATCGAACTTCTATGGGCCGAACCCCCAACCACCCCCGAGGCTTCGCCTAAGGAATTGCTCTCTACTCACCAAATGGTTGTGCAGACTGGAGTAGATCCAGATGTTGATCTGCTTAATCCACATGGCCTTTTGGAGCACTTACTTCTAGTCCAAAAAGCCACACAAGTTAGCGTTAATATGTTCGATATAACATGGAGATTGAAAGACTTTTGCCAATCACCTAGCATTCCTAATATAGATGCTCATTATATTGAGCAAATGTTTGAAAACATAATGCCCTGTTCTATTGTTACTCCACTAGATTGCTTTTGGGAGGGATCTAAACTTCTTGGACCTGATTATCCTGTACATATACCGTAAGTATAATTCCTATTAGCCAAGTTTTTTCTCAAAACAAAGAAGACTTTTCGTTACTGGTATGAATTTAATATGAAATAATTATTCGAAACAGTATGCATAACCTACCTTTTAAAGTGGGTAATTGAATACATTTGCATTTAATCATAATATGACAAAAATAAGAGCTTATAACTATACACATTACTGCATTGTGAATACCTATTCAGTTAAAGTCTTTTTTGCATCCGATGGTGATATTTTATTTAATAAATACAAGTTTCAAGTTTTACATAAATTAACAAGCCTTTATCATTAGATATGGTATTGGAGATCAAATAAAGTGGACAAACCTCAACCCAGAAGATTTAGTACATCGAATGAAAAACAAAGAATCAAATTTCGACTATCATTCCCTGGAAGATTACCTAAAACGTGCTGGTATAACCAGTGGTTACCAAAAAAAGCCTTGCCTTGACCCCAAAGATCCAGAATGCCCTTTAACAGCCCCCAATATCAACTCATCAAATCCCTTGGATGTGGGTGCAGAACTTACTAGTGGATGTTATGGCTTTGCTGCAAAATATATGCATTGGCCTGAAGAACTTATTGTCGGTGGAGTAAAAAAAAACAAAACGGGCCATATAAAGGGAGCTAAGGCATTACAAACTGTGGTTCAGCTAATGGGGGAGCAGGAACTCCATGATTTTTGGGCTGGACATTATAAAGTGCACCACATTAGTTGGAACCAAGAGCGGGCAAGTACAGTTTTGAATGCTTGGCAGAAAAAGTTTGCACAGGTGATAATTTTGCACTTATTTTTTTCATTGACATTTTCTACAATATAATTTTTTTCAGGAAGTAGATCGTCTCACCAGATCCAAGAAGAGTTCCTCTTCGTCATATTCATTCGTAACCTTTTCGACTGCAAACGTGAATAAAATTCTGAAAGAATATGCGAGAACTGACTTTATAAAATTCGGTATAGTGATAGGCGTAGTGTCTGTGTATGGTTGGGTTATTCAATCTCCGTTAGCTTTTATAGGGACAGTAGTCCTATCTAGCACAGCTGCAGCAGCTTTAGGAGTATGTAGTTTAATCGGGCTACCAATGAACTTGCTCAGTACGCATGTATTACCTTTCGTGACTGTTGGTCTTGCCATGCGTGATATGTTCCTTATGTTAAATACTCACAATAAAAACTTAATGCCGTCTGAAATATTACTACGAACTGGACCTAGTATAGTGTCCGCAATGTTAATCAATGCTGCCGCATTTCTTGCAACTGCAATTTTGCCAGTGCCCGCACTTAGAGTATTCGCGTTACAGTGCGCGGTTATGGTTATCTTCCACAGTGCCGCGCTACTTATTATATTTCCTTGCCTGTTGGCTCTGGAACAGCGATGTAGAAAATCTGATGTACCTTGCTTTAGAAGTGATACCAAATGCAAAACATCTAATATCCAGAACAATAATAATAACCCGGTAAGTTACTATATTATTTCCAACAACAGCTAAAATATAAGGGAGTTAGTAGGCATATATCAAAATGAAAATTCTAAGGCCATTTGAGCTGTAGTGATAAAATCTGATAATAGGGAATCATTCGATGTTTTCCGAATATATTTAAATAGACATACCTTTCAACTTTTCTGAATTTGCTTATTTCTTGATGGGAAAGTAAGTTCGGTTTTCCTCTAAAATTAACCGTTTAGGTTTTACAGCCTGTCAAAGTTGCAAAAAAAGGCAATTTTCAACTGTCAATATTTCCAAAACAATTGAACTTAGGTATTAAAATTTAGTACCTACCAAAATGTATGGAATAGAAAACCCTCCAAAATTATGCATCATTTGACCCCCCTTTCCATTTGAGATTTTCTACGGGGTGGCTCTGGGGTAGGGTTGCCAACCCTCCCGATTTAGGCGGGAGTCTCCCGCTTTTTTACTAAACCTCCTGCCTCCCGCACACTTAAACAAAACGCCCGCTTTCCTCAAAAATAAAAAATAACATGAAATATAATTCCGAATCAGGTGCTCTTATTTATTTTTACCATAATTTTAATACTTCATTATAAATCTGGCAGCCCAACGCAAATGGGGAGCTTATTGCATCTTTCTTTATCTCCAATACCAAAGGAAGATAGATTTACTCAAGCCTGAGAGTTTGAGCATCTAATCTGAACTGAATGTATATTATAAGGGGAGTTTGAGTTCCAAAAATTCTCTACCAAGCTCCACTTTATTTAAGCCAGGTTCGGTTGACACGGTCCAAGTATATTTGGAATCTTGGATTGTATTAACTGTTTATCCAAGTCCAGGATAGGTCCTAACATCCAAGTAAGTAGGCTGGCTGCCAATTTACTTGGTCCAAGTATAAGTTGTCTAGTCCAGTTCCTCTTGTATTAACAAAACTTACTGGACAATTGCTTTCGAGGAAAAGGAAAATTTCGCCTAACTTTCAAACTCGATATGTTTGGAACCAAAATATTGACCTCTAGTTTCCGTGTAGCAATTTTTTTCACAAAAAGTCAATCTCTCAGCCCGTGAATACCGGATGGCGATATCTGATATGGTCCCAAAAATATTGAGCTTGAAAGTTAGGTGAAAAAATTTTCTTGCTCGAAAGCAGTTGTCCAGCAGTTTATTATTGGTAAGTCTGGCAACAACGTCGATACAATTTTTGAATTCGTAAAATTTTGTTCAAATTGCACCACTAGCCACTGGTTTCAGAGATAGTGGACCGTCCCGTTACTTTTCGTACACTCTATAGTATGTGATAAAATGTGACAAAATTAGGGCGTGGCACCTCAACAATTTTTTTTTCCAATTCGACCCATTCACTACCTCCCGCTTTTCAATTTTGAAAATCTGGCAACCCTACTCTGGGGGCTGGGGGCTTGAAAGGGGGGAAGTGAATTTTGCATAAAAACTCATCCCCTCTCAAATTATAGTTCACGTGTTTCAGGAATTTTTTCGAAAATTTTTCAACTCTGAGATAATAGGGGTGGTATGTTTAAAAATGAACACCCTGTATACTGACTAGAAAAATATTGCGAACATATCTGCGATTTCTTTGGGATTCTGGGACACTAAATCATTAAACCTCATCTGGCTTGGGTACTTACCCAATAACATTTCTTTTTGATTTTAAATACTTCCGAAACGATTTTACATTATTGAGGATATCGTAATGTGTGGAGTTTAGAAAGTTATTGTAATCCTTTTCAATTGCTATGATCGATTGTAGTCTTAGGTTTTTATATTTAGTTTCAAGGTATGGTGATTTGTTTTTTTCTGATATACTGTAAACATTGTTCTTACTTCTAATGAGATTATTTGTTCTCATGGAAAAACAAATTGGAAATTTGTTATTAATAATAAGTCTTTTAGGAATTGGGTCGTACATATCCAATAGCAATAAAATATGCAGTAAAATAAAAAAGATCTACACTGCACTGTTCAAATCAGTATTTATTGAATTTATCATGTTCCAGTTAATATTCTCGAAGAAATCATTTAACTGATCATAGTCAGCCTTAAAAAAGTTTAAATTATACACGTGTGTATCGTCCACTATGGGATTAAAATCAACCAAAGACATATTCACACTCAATGGTGGATAAGAAAATCGGCAGGTACCCACCAGTGTCAGGTCACACTTGTTAACACTCACATCAGAACTGTCTGAAAGTACCAAATCCAGAATGATATTATTTCCATTTTACACATTTAGGGTGTTCATTTGTACTGCTTTTCTTGCTTCAAGCAGATCTCAGCAGCAGATCGGCGTTCACTTGTCCCAAAATCTGATATATTATGCTCTTTAATAGCAGCTCCTAGCAGATCTTCCTGATTTTCTGAGTAGGTAAAGCAAGTACAAATGAACAAACTTATTGTGAAGCTGTAAAAGGTCATAAAAACAGCAAGAGTCATAGTACAATGTCTTTTCACCATGTGCTATTTTGATTGTTAAGTAGATACATCATTACTAATTAATCGATTATCAACATTGCTAGCCACGAAGGATCGGACGTAATTTCGCAAGTTGTAATTCCCTAATAATAAGACCATAGTATAGAGAAACCTGTCCATGATGTGCTCCAGAGAACTGGTATAACTTTCAAACACTGATAGTGGGGATGATGGAGGAATGTGGACCGCTGAAAAAAAATGGTGATGGTACCCGTTGAGTGATGCTCCTATCCAAACTTCCTCTAGTATACGCCACCACCTCTTAGTTTACCTGTCGCCTCAAAACTACGATCTTTTCTGTACACAATGTAGTCGCCAGGAAATAATTCCTCATTGAGAATACCTTCCGTTAGCCATGTTTTCGTAATAATTACAGTATCGTAGTTACGCCATTAACAATACCATTATAAAACTGAGTCGTCTTTGTATGCAGTCCACGTGCGTTCTGGTAGTATATGGGACAACCCAGTCAGTGACTGTTTTTTGAGTGATGAGCAAGACGAAAATTTGTAACGAAATGAGAATTTCCGCTTAGGCTGTTCTGGTCGCGGTTTATGTCATTTGTGTTATTGCTTTGTAATTCGACAGGCTTTTTTTGTGATACATTAAGTTTGACAGGTTCAATCGAGGATTTCACGAGAAATTCTGAAGATTAGTTTATATTTGGTTTCATAAGAAGGGAACCCATGCCCACTGTTGTCCCCCAACATGAACAGGAACCGAGCCAATTTCCTTGACATGACATGTGAATCGTTTTTTTGATATCTACATGAATTTAATATAGATAATCATTGTTGTATTGTGAATAAAATGTAACAAACAACAGGTTAGTCCATTCTTCAACGTCACGCATTCTCGCTAAAGACTTCTCACGAACAGTTCTTCTCTGGTAAGCATCTTTCAGTCCTAGAAAAACAACCACATCCTCAGACTTTGTCAGCTTACTACACAAATATTGGTATGTATTGACTATTTGTTGAAATTAAGGCTGGTTAGTATATTGACGATGTATGTCATAATCAGAGCAAGTTGACAGTTTCATGAGTTTTCCACATCCTTGAAAACTGGATTTGTCCACTATCATAAGAATATGTGGTTTTGTAGATTTGACCTCTTTTGAAGGTATTTCACATGCCTGATCGTGATTAATGGAGCTACTGCTGTTCTTCTGTTGGAGTGCAAGGACTAGTTGGTTTGTCAGCTCCAGTTTTTTGTTTTTCTAGTGTGTCTATGCTCTTTTGGAGGCTTGAGCTATTAACAGTCAGCCTGCCTATTCTAGACTTTGATTCGATAATTTGTTCTTTAGACTATTCTGCAGATAAACAGTTAGTTTCAAAATCCTTTCGAATTCTTGTTCTTGCTTCCTCCAGTTCTTTTCTGGCGGTTTCAAGTTCACTCTCGCTCGCACAAGCGTTAAAATCAAAATTTTGGTCCAGAGGAATGGACATCTGTTCTTTCCATCAGCATCGTTGCATGTAGCTGACTCAGTTTGGGTACACCGATCCACTCCACTTGCAACCTGTTTACTCGAAGTTATCTTCTTATTCAAGACTATTAGGACTATTTGGATCCTGAACGTATTTATCATTATCATTAGTTAGCGAGGAAACATGATCCAACAAACCGTTTTTCAGATTTATTAGGTCTGCCAACTCGGATTGCAGACATTGAATTTTAGTAATAAGCGTTTGGTTTTTATCGGATAGGCGGATATAATTTTTTAAAAGATCAGCTATTTTTTTCTCACTATGGAATAACTCACCTTTTGCGACTGGATAACCTTTTCATAATTATTTTCGGCCTGGAAGTAAATCAGACGTAAGCATGCATTTCATTCATTGTTTGGATACCTGCTGATCAGGAGAATTGGCTTTGCCGACATCACAATAAAACAAGACAGACCGATCAAGGACTGAAGTGCATCTGCTTCGGGCGTAGTTAAGATCGCGCAATCTTTACAGTAAAATAAATTACAACTGTCGCAGGAGACACCATAACGCTCGCCCTCTTTGGCGTTTGGGCGGCGTTTAAAAATACAAGCATTTTGACAAATTGTGCAGTTGGATGCCATGCCCATGCTAGTTCCTCTTGTCTTCAACATCAACGAAGTTTTGGTGACTATTCAATTTTTTACGTTTATTATGTTTTTTAAAAATTAACAGTCTGGCTTCTTATCATTACAACATCCAAAACTGGTTGCCAGATTCATTCAAAGTAAACATGCATTTATTTATTTCCATTAAATTCAATGAACCTCTGACAAGTAAACAAACACCAATATTAACAGAATCCACGTGAAAATGTTTGGGTTCATTAGCAGAACAAAAAAATATTTGATGTAGCAGGCAGCATCATGAAAAGTCCAAGAATGTGAGAAAATTCCCAAGCAAAGGAGGAATGGCAGCAAAAAATAAGATGTATCTATCATACAAACGAACAATAACTGTACTTTTCGAAATATCATTGTTTCCACATCAGAGCACAGGCTATTTCCTGACACATTGGATAGTCTA